GCAGCAAGAGTTCCATCTTGGCACTCCCACTTTTTTGACCACCACCTGCACAAGATAGCGACACCATCAGGACTTGGATGCCATCTTGTTTTTTTTTCTAGAATCCAATTTTTTATTGTTTGCTATCTTGGTTTTAATTGTTCTTTTGCTGGTTTTATATCACTATAAACCACCCTAAGCTCAGTTCTTGGAAGGGCGGTCAAAAATCCAATTAACAATAATAATAATACACAGATTTATTTATTCGTTTCGGCTTCTATTCAGCCCTCCCCACAAGTGGTCCCAGAGTGGATGACAACAGCAAATCCACAACAGAAATTAAAACATTTCACAATAAATAGTTAAAACAGTTAAAAACAAAGGTATAAACTAAAGACAGCACTACAGTTTAGCACAATAATATTGAGAACTGGAGCCGCTAGGCTACAAACCAGACTGCGGGTCTTCATCTAATGGGCCGTACAAGGATGGAAGGTTCAGCAAGGGAGGCCAGTAGATGGGATAATTGGACGCCCGCCACCTCATCCAAAGGCCTGGCGGAACAGCTCCATTTTACAGCCCATGTGGAACTGTAATAGGTCCCGCAGGGCCCTGATCTCTAATGGGAGCGTTTTCCACCAGGGTTCCACCAGGTTGGGGCCGGGGCAGAAAAAGCCCTGGCCCTGGCTATAAAGGCGTCCTTTGGACCGGGGACAACCAGCAGATGCTGATCTGCTGAACCCAAGGCTCTCCAGGGCACATATGAGGAAAGGTGGTCCCTCAGATATGTCGGTCCCTGGTCGTACAGGGCTTTGAAGATTGGTACCAACACCTTGAAATAGATCTGGTACCCAATCAGAAGCCAGTGCAATCTGCGTAGCTCCGGCTGAATGTGTGCCTGCACAGGTGACACAGTCAACAACTGGGCCGCTGCATTTTGCACTAGAAGGAGTTTTCAGATCAGTTTCAAGGGCGCAAGTCCGCATAAAGCGAGTTACAGTAGTCAAGTCTGGAAGTGACTATTGCATGGTTCACTGTAGCCAAGTCCTGGGGGGAGAGATCGGGGGCCAGCTGCCTGATCTGCTGAAGATGATAAAAGGCAGACTTAGCAACAGTGGTGACCTGGGCCTCCATTGAAAGTGAGGCATCCGGGATCACCCTTAAGCTCCTCACCCTCTGAACCGGCACTAATGGTGTGCCGTCAGAGGCAGGGAACCTGATTCCTGACCCAGTCCCCACCCCCCACTCAGGTACAGGACCTTTGTCTTCACTGGATTAAGTTTCAACTGACTCTACTGTAACCACCCAGTCATGGTCCCTAATGCCCTGTCCAAGTTCTCTGGGGTGGAGCCTGGGCAGCCACCCAATAACAGATAGTGCTGGGTGTCATCGCATATTGATGGCAACCCAGCTCAGACATCTGGATCAGTTGGGTGAGGGGGCGCATACAGATATTGGGCAGCACTGGTGAGAGGATGGCCCCTTGCGGCACTCCACATTCCAGTGGATATCGCAGGGAGACCCTCTCACCAAGTGCCACCCTCTGTCCCCGACCACAAAGGAGGAAAACCACTGCAAGGTGACCTCCCCGTACCCCTATGTTGGCAAGGTAGTGGGTTATAACATCATCATCATCAACCATGTTGAACACTGCCATTAGATCTGCCAATCAAATTTTATTGCATAGCTGTCACATACTCAGATTAATTAAAATATCACCGATGACATCCAGAACAAGCATTCTTAATTGCTTTCCTATTTGTTGTGGTACTGATTCATGTTGTTTAAGACACATTTTTCTCAGGGATCTCTATATGACCTCTGGGTATGCACAGGCCTGGTTTGGCTTCTATTTTCCTCTCTAGTCCTTCCCTGCCATTCAAAAATGAAGACATATGTATTTATGAGAATTAGGCTATAATCTCCCCATCCACAGGCAGTTCCGTGCGCCTTGGTGTTTAGTCATGCCGGCCACATGACCACGGAAACGTCTTCGGACAGTGCTGGCTCTTCGGCTTTGAAACGGAGATGAGCACCACAACCCTAGAGTCAGATTCGACTGACTTCCGAGCAAGGGAACCTTTACCTTTACAGGCCAATAACTGGTCATTTAACCATTTGGAATTCTTTTCCTTCTTGGTTAGAGACTGGAGTCTTTAAGTACCCAGTCTTTTCCCAACAGCAGGCACAAGGCGGTAATCGAGTAACCTCTGAACCTTTATTTGATAAAATAAAGGTATTGAACTCATATCTTTTGCTGTGCAGGACCCATAGCAGCAAAGGTGTTCTCCCAAAGAGCTCCTGAATCTTTGCCCCCAGGGACTTTAACAGCAGTTAGTGGAAAGTGTTACATCCAACGGAGATCAAGTTTGTGCCACATGATAAGGGTGCACTTTACAGCAAACAGTTACTGGTATGAGCACCTAGAAATTTAGATCCCCTAGTGTTAAATATATGCAACACAGAGAATTAATAGAGACACGTCCAGAAGACAGCTTTCCACACTCTTCAGACTGGCATAGTAGCATAAAAGCTTGAATATAGGCAGTGGTCTAAGGCCACCATACGGCCAACTATGTAGACTGCATAGGATACAGTAGTCCTGATCAGTTTGGCAGACAACCAGCTGATTATTAACATGGGTCGCAGCATAATGAAATTGGTAAGGTTTAACACCATTCAAAAATAGAACAAAGTTTGAGTCCAGTGGCACCATTCACAAATGTTTATTCAATACAACATTACTGGCAAGTAATTAAATATGAGAATACCAACACATTTTTGCCACAGTCTTATTTACTGTAAACTTTATTTATTCATTCATTTTCACATTTGCATCCCGCCCATCTTGCGAGTGGGCTCAGGGCAGGTCTCATCATATTCCAACAGTTACAATAAAGTTTAAAAACACAATATAAACATTTCAAACCAGTGGTTACAGCTTACTAGCGAAAGTTCCAACCCATCAGTACAGATGGATATGGCCGGTTACTGATGGATGAATGACCGGTAGGTGGGAGACAGCATCCTCGGGGGAGGCCGTGTGTGGACGCCCGCTGCCTCAACCAAGAGCCTGGTGGAAGAGCTCCATCTTGCAGGCCCTGCGGAAATGAATAAGGTCCCGCAGGGCCCTGATCTTGATGGGGAGCACGTTCCACCAGGTGGGGGCCAGGGCTGAAAAGGCCCTGGTCCTGGTCGAGGCTAGACGGATGTCCTTTGGGCCAGGGGCCTCCAGGAGATGTTGATTACTAGAGCATAAAGCTCTCGAGGCATCCACGGGAAGAGGTGGTCCCTTAGGTATGTTGGTCCCAGGTCGTATAAAGCTTTGAAGGTTATTACCAACTCCCTAAGCAGATCAACTGGTAACCAGTGCAGCTGGTAAAGCACATGCCAAATGTGAGCCCGCACAGACATCAGCATTTAATGCTTGATTGCGTTGAATGTTGGATCCATAATCCTTCTAGCATTTTTACTTATGTTAAGGTGGAGGGGGAGAGAAGCATGATGGTCTGCCAGCTGTAAACTAAAGAGCATCTTAGCAACCAACCTTGCATTACAGCTTTCCAATGGCCCTTCAGAAACTCAATGAAGTCCTACAGGCTTGGGAAGGAATCAATGGATTCTGTTATTTCTCTTAGCATGTATTCATATTACCTTGCTTATGCGAGCAGTTCAGAAAGCAGATTACAGCGAGGCATCACTCGATTTTTCTACCAGCATTGTTCTAGTGCCTTTAACGTCTACCCACTAGCCAGGAATTTAGCAGGTGAAGCTCTCCTTGTTACTTCAGTTCAGTGCTGGGAAAAGCTTCACCTGCTAACAGCTGCTTGTCCTAACGCAAATAAAAGTTGCCTCCCCCACCCCCGAAAAGGGCAAAACAAACTTTAAGGGTTTTTAAAAAGAAAAGCTTCACATTGCACCAAAATCAAAAGGTACCTAGAAATTCAAATAAGCACCGAAGAGATCTGTTTTAAACAGAATTCCACGTACTAACTGATTTTAGAACTTTGTGGGTTATATGCAGTCGCTCTAGTCTAAAGCAACTGATTTCAATGGGCTAAAGCTGCGGTGACTATGCACAGTATTCAAGCGGAGTAGTGACAAAATTTGACAAAGTTTGATGGAACCAATAATTCTGTTTTATTTCTCTGATGTAATGTTTTTTTAAATTTTTTTTTTATTAAATATAAAAAACAGTTAAAAATAGGAAAGCAAGTCCTGGTGTTTATGCAGGGCAAACAGGGAGGTGTTGATTTTATGTGCTGCTGAGGCTTCCAAGAGGGGCATCCATTTTTCTTGAAGATTGTCAGGAAGGGGTTGATTTTCGGATCATAGGATGCTAGTGGAAACGTTGTCCTGTAAAAAGAAGTCCCACAGTTTCAGGAACCATTCTCTGATGTAATGTGAAACATAAGATGCTTTGTCACCCATTGTCACACTCAAAGAGTCAGGTATTTAGGGGTCCTCGATATCTGCATTCTTCCTTTATTAATTAATACATAATTTTTTGGTCTTCCACTCTATAGGACCGCTTTGTGTGTCTTCTCAAATTGGCCTGGGCACACACAGCCAGGGACAGGGGTTCTGTCTAACAAACTGGTGTGACAACATCCTGCATTGTCTTCACAGATCAGAATCCCTCCCAGCATCAGCCTTCGTGGAGCAGAGTTTATTGCCTTAAACATGAACAGCGAGCGCAGGTGCTTCGTGGGAGTGCAGAGGGCCACTCTCCTAGCGCTAGAAGACAAGACAGTGAACAGCCCGACGACTCCAGTCCCTCCGCGTGTGCACGGGGACGAGGCGCGTGTCAGCCACACTGACTGTGGGCGGCCGTGCGGGGCACCCCCGGATCGCGCAAAGAGGCGGACTTCCCGAGTCTCTGGGAAGCGCCTCCTACCGCCTCCCCCAGCCCGAGAGTCCTCTCCCGCTGACACTGCAGGGCCGCCTCGCCGGTGCCCGCCCCGAGCCACGCGCTCTGCCCCACTTCCCGCCCCCGAGAACGTGACCACATCAACTTCCGGCCCCTAACCGGAAACCGGAAGCGCTTGGTGGCTGGAGGACCCCTTGGCTTTCCGGCCGCCTCCCTGTCCCGTCCTGGCCGGTGAGTTCCGATCATCCCGGCATTGACCGTCGAACCCTCTCTCCGCGTCTGGCCCCGAGAAGGGGGGCGAGTGGCCGGCAGAGCCAACTCCCCGCCGCGCCCGCGGGCCTCTCCGTCCCTCCCCTGTGGCAAAAGGGCGGCCGGCGGCCTGTCTGCGCGGGCCGCGGGCGAGGGGAGCGCCCCGGGGTGGGTGTGGGGAGCGCGAGGCAGGCAGCCGGGCGCCGCGGCCGGCTTCCGACAGGGAGAGAGAACGCGGGGAGGGGAAGCCGCCTCGAGTGGGCCTCCTTGACGGTGGGCGACGACAGGCTTCCTTTTCTTCCCACCCTGGCCGTCCACCACTGCGGAGTGTGCTTGCGACAGATTTGTTTGACGTCAGTCAGGGTCTTCATACCTGTCCTGCTTAGGCAGTACTGGCTTGCATGTGGATTTGTTCATAAGAACATCAGAGGCGCCCATGCTGGATCAGGCCCGCGGCCCCTCCAGTCCAACACTCCGGGTCACACAGGGGCCAGAAGTACCAGGCGCCCTCAGGAGGTCCACCCGTGGGGCCAGGACCACTAGGAGCCCTCCCACTGCTGCCCCCCCCCCCAAGCACCAAGGATACAGAGCATCCCTTGCCCCAACCTGAGAGTTCCCATATATACCTTGTGGCTAAGAGCCACTGATGGACCTCTGCTCCATATAGGAACATAAGAGAAGCCCATGTTGGATCAGGCCAGTGGCCCATCCAGTCCAACACTCTGTGTCACACAGGGGCCAAACATACCATCAGGAGGTCCACCAGTGGGGGCATATGAATAATAGTGCAAAGGAGGAACAATCTGGAAATTCTCCTCATCAGCTGTCTGGCACTTGAGCAGGCTGATTTCTCCTACTGCCCCCCCCCCCAATTGACAGCTGCTTTCAACTTTCTGCCCCCTTCTGAAGCATATTTTACCCTCATCAGGCAGTTCTCCGCCCCTCCTTGATTAACTTACAATGTTCAGGTTTTTTTCTGCATAGCTGGCAAATCCCCAAAGAGGTAGAGACCCTCACCTTGTCTGTGGGTGGCCCAGTCTTAGACTGGATTTAATGAGGATGCTTAATACAGGTCATTGTGAATGACTTTTGCCTGTAGTTTAAAACAGTTGATTGTGGTGACCCATCTTTGCTCTTCCTGTGCAGAAATATGAGCAAACTCTGCTACCTTGATGTAACTGAGTCTTGTTTGGTAAATGTGCTGTGATACCCAGGAGTACACTTGGACATATGTCAGATAATTGGTCTAGCAAACTCAGTGCTGTATACTCTGAGTTGCAACACTTGTCCAGGGATTTGGGAAAATTGCCTTTCATACCACGTACTACCTGATCCTTTAACTAGAAGTGTCTGGGATTGAACCTGGGTCTGTCTGCATGCACAGCAGGTGCTCCACCATTGAGCCACAACCCTTAGTACTTCTAATTTTTCCTTACCAATGTTTACTAACGGACAGATTCTTCCCAGTGGCCTGTGGAGTTTACCAAGGGGCTTGCTAAATAAACTGGATTTATTTTTATTATTGACACGCTTTGGGCAATGTCACATGTAATAGAGGAAAAACTGGACTTGATGTTGGGTATATACTCAAGAAAGAATGGTGATCAGTCATGGCTCCCTGACGAGTTTACCAGTACATGTGTTTTTTCCATTGTATTTGTTGCATTCGCAATGAACAAATTTAGGCTTACCCTTAAAACACCTAAAAATATAATATGTGAAGTCATTTTCTGTTGATCTTTCCCAAAAATGGTAGTAACTAGAATCCAACCCCCCCCCCCCCAGGATTTGGCAAAAAGGGACTTCTTCCCTCCTGCTGTAGCTACTTGCACACTGAGGAGTACTTAAGTTTCAAACAGAAGCTTGTCTTGATATGTCTCCCAGATACTGATGAAAAATCCTCTGAGTCAAGACTGTGAGATGTTTCAGTTGAATCGGATATAGAAGAGCCAACAGTGGACAATAACAGGTCTGTTTCTGGAATATGTGATGTTATGAAGACAGAATTTTTTTGAATTAAATATTTCTTTAATGAAAGAAGTTGTGGTAGGAGAAGAAACGGGGAGACACTGTGCTTGTAGATCTGAAATTATGGCACAAATAATTTTAAAAAGTAAATAAGAACTAGAAATATGCAGATAGTTATACAGTGGCTATTGCCAGTGAGCAGGAAGTATGGGGAAAGGGTTAGCTTGCATCTCCATTGTGTTTAAAATAAAAATGCACTTTTAAACTGGATTGTGAAACAGAGGGAGAGAGCACCCCAAGAGGTTTGTATGTATATTTTGCGTTTCCCCCCCATTTGTTTGCAGATACGAGTGATAGTGCATTCATAAACAGATTACTTTATCCTTTCTTAAAGTTCTTTTGTCCTGATATAGTCTATATAGGACCGTCTTTTTCTCTAGTTTGGGTTTTGAAACTGCAAGCTGTAGTAGAGAGAGAGATTTTTTTATCAGTCTTGCCTTCGGGGAGGGCGGGATAGAAATGTGAATAATAAATAAATAAATAAATGAATAAATGTTGTGTTCTGTGTTGTAGTGTACATGCTGGCTACCTTAACTTTATTCACACATTGGGCAATGATTCTACAAACAGTGCTCAATGTGTGAAGAGTCATTGTGAGTCCCTGGAATCAAGTTCACTCAGGCCTGTTTTAGCTGTGCATGATGGTCATCATGTATAACTTGTGTGTCATGCCACTGTGTTAGTAATGCATCCCACACTTAGCAAAATTGAGAGGTAAAGATCACGTCTTTTGGGGCTGACGATTTCACACAATAGTTACACTTTTATGAGCAAAGACTGTAGTTGGGGGAAAGGTGGATGAGCATCATTGTGCTCCCCCACTGTATACAATTTCTACATATTTTGCTCTGTGTGTTTATAGGGCTTACAATAACAATGACAGCAGAATCTTCAATCCTGTGCAGTAACCTTCCTCAAATACTTACACTTGTTTCCTTTCCTCTTGTGGATCCAGGACAAAGTCCTCATCCTTCGTTTCAAAGCCTTCTGTAGCCTCTCTTCACCTCCATCTTTCCATTCTCATATCCCAGTATCTCTCTGCCTGTGAGTTCCAGCTTCTCCACTGTCCAAAGAATTGGCTGTCCAAAGAATTCTGCGCTTTTAGATGGTTCTGCCTTTTTTCTCTTGCTTCCCCTTATAGAATCATAGAGTTGGAAGGTGCCTCCAGGGTCATCTAGTCCAACCCCCTGCACAATGCAGGAAATTCACAAATACCTCCCCCCTCCACACCCGCACTGACTGCTGTTCCACACCCAGAAGATGACAAAAAACCCTAAAGGATTGCTTCCTGACCCCGAAGAAGAAGAAGAGAAGAGATTGGATTTATACCCCGCCCTTCACTCGGAATCTCAGAGCGGCTTACAAACTCCTTTCCCTTCCCCTCCCCACAACAGACACCCTGTGAGGTGGGTGGGGCTGAGAGAGCTCTGACAGAAACTGCTCTTTTTCAAGGACAGCTGTGCCAGAGCTTGTGACTGACCCAAGGTCACATCAGCAGGTGCAAGTGGAGGAGTGGGGAATCAAACCCGGTTCTCCCAGATTAGAGTCCACACACTTAACCACTACACCAAACTGGCATTTCCCTGGGTGTGTAAAAAAGGGCCACAAGAACTAAGCACTGAGGCAACCCTTCCTGCCCTCCCTCTCATGATCTGCCTAAGTTCACACAATCCGCATTGCTGTCAGATGGCCATCTAGCCTCTGTTTGAAAACCTCCAAAGAAGGAGAGCCCACCACTTCCCGAGGAAGCCTGTTCCACTGAGGAACTGCTCTAACTGTCAGGAAGTTCTTCCTGATGTTTAGCTGAAAACTCTTCTGATTTAATTTCAACCTGTTGGTTCTGGTCTGACCTTCTGGGGCAACAGAAAACAACTCCACACCATCCTCTAGATGACAGCCCTTCAAGTACTTGAAGATGGTTATCATATCACCTCTCAGTCGTCTCCTCTCCAGGCTAAACATACCCAGCTCCTTCAACCTTTCCTCATAGGACTTGGTCTCCAGACCCCTCACCATCTTCATTGCTCTCCTCTGGACCATGTTCCAACTTGTCTATATCCTTCTTAAACTGTGGTGCCCAAAACTCAACACAATACTCTAGGTGAGGTCTAACCAGAGCAGAGCAGAGATCTCGTGATCTGGACACTATACTTCTCCTGATACAGCCCAAAATCACATTTGCCTTTTTAGCAACCGCATCACACTGCTAACTCATGTTCAGTGTATGGTCTACTAAGACCCCTAGATCCTTTTTGCACATACTACTGCCAAGACAAGTCTCCCCCAACCTATAATTTTGCATTTGATTTTCCCTACCTAAATGCAGAACTTTACATTTATCCCCATTGAAATTCATTAAATTACTTTTAGCCCAGTTTTCCAGCCTGTCAAGATGTTGTATCCTGTATCCTGACTCTGTCTTCGACCGTATTTGCTACCCCTCCCAATTTAGTATCATCTGCAAATTTAATAAGCATTCCCTCTATCCCTTCATCCAAATCATTGATAAAGATGTTGAACAAAACAGAAGTTATACCTGGAAGTGAACTGCCTGTCAGAACATGTGTGTTGTCACCTCTCTCATTTCCTGAGAATCTCTTTCAAAACTCACATTTTCAGTGAACAACAACCATTTAATACCACTTCTCTACTGATACCAAGCCTGTTGTGTGCCAGCACTGAATGCATATTCTTCCCTTCTTTATCCCTGCCTCCACCTCCCACTTCTGCCTTAGTTTTCTCCCTCATGGCCATTTTAGGGTGTAAGCTCCTTGAAGGGGTAACCCATCTTCTTGAATTCTGCAAAGCACTATGTAGTTAATAGTGCTATATAAATAAATGATAATTCTATAATTAAATACACTCAGTACATGGAATTTGGTCAGGCTCATTATTCTTGTTGCAGCTTGATAATATAGAAGTACATGAAAACAACTATTACATGTGTTCTCTTTCTCACTCCAGAGAAGTTCATGAGCCCCCCTAAGGATGGAGACATTCAAAGACAAGAGTGTAGATGATCTGCAGAAACTACAGGAGGATTTGGAAGAGATTGAGCGTTTGGCACTGGAGTCTAATGAGGTAACCATTAAAATTAATCAAAACTTGGGTGACGGGTGCTGAAATTAAGAGGAGCCACCCCTCTCTAAATATGGCTCATCTTTCTCAGGTCCAGAATTTACAGCTGGAAAGAGAGATGGCTCTGGCCACAAATCGTAGCTTGGCAGAGCAGAACCTGACGTTCCAGGAACCCTTAGAAACAGGACGTGCAAACCTCTCTGATAAGTATCAGGATCTGCAAAAGCTGGTGGAGCGATGTCAGGAGCAGAAGGCAAAACTGGGTAAAGGTTCAGGTCTTTATCTCCCAATGCAGCTTAGGGTGGGTGGGGGTGGGTTAAGTAGACTTCCTCTAACTTAGACCATTTACTGTGATTTTATTTTGATAATGGGGTATGTGAGTAAAGCTTAATGTTGACATTGCCTGATCCAGAGGCAAGTCCCATTTGTTGACATTCTTAGTGCACCTGTGTGGGGTGATGGGGGGGGGGTGACTGAGAAAAACAGCTTTGGTTCTCTCTGTGTAAGGGCTTTGCTTGTGTGGCTGCTTCTAGTAGCCTCTGCAGGCATAAATGGAAGGTGTACATCCATGATGCCAGTGACATTTGCCCCTGGCCCAGTGCAGCGCACGCGGAGAACAGTTTTGCTGTGTCACTCCCTCCACCACTGCTATCCTTCCTTGGTTCTGAGGTGTTCCAGAATGCTGATTCTTACAGAAATAGGTCCCTTGACTTGGTTACAAGGTGGTGGTTCTGGTGTATGTGTGCATGCTTGCATTCCATCAAGCGCTAGTATAACTAAGCTGAAGAGGCAGTGAAATGCTCCTTTATGTATGACTCTTTTTACTCATTGCTTTCTGTTTCTTCCTCAGAGAAATTCTCTGCTGCAATGCAGCCTGGCATCCTGTTAAATCTGCTGCAGGCTGAAGGACAGAAAATTGAAGAAGAATCTGAGGTCAGCCTGTGATTTAAACTCAAGGGGAAAGGAAACTTATTTTTTATGTTCATGCTGGAAATTCTGCTTGAAAAAGGCCACTCCAGAGCTGAGCTTTTCCACATTGTGACCTCCCCTTATTGGTCTAGGCTTTCCTCTAGCCCGGTCTCTCCCCCCAGCTCTCACAACATAGAGACCAACCATCACCATGGGCATGGGGATTGTCTCTCTATGCCTTTGCAGGAATAGCTTAAGGATTTTCCTTATTATGAATATAAAAAATGCCCTGCTGGATCAGACCAGGGAGGGTCCATCTATTCCAGCATCCTGCTTTACACAGGGGCCAGCCAGTTCCTTGGAAGGGCCAACAACAGGGCAGAGGGGCCTGAAAAGTCCCAGACTCTCTAGCAAGGAAATTAAAAACCAGTAAGTTTCCAGGTCCTGATGGCATACACCCAAGAGTTCTTAGGGAACTCAAATGTGAGACAGTTGATGTACTAACCAGTGTATAAGAGGAGCTCTGCTGGATCAGACCAACTGTCCACCTAGTCCAGCATGCTGTCTCAGACAGAGGCCTCCCCCTGATGTTGCCTCCTGGCTCTGGGATTCAGAAGTTGACTGCCTCTGAATGTGGAGGTTCCCTTTAGTCACCGTGGTTAGTAGCCACTGGTAGGCCTATCCTCGATGAATCTGCTTAATCCCCTTTTAAAGCTGTCTATTCCTGTAGCCATCACTACATCCTCTGGCAGCAAATTCCACATTTTTATTGTTGTGTAAAGAAGTATTTTCTTTTGTCTGTCCTGAACGTACTGCCCATCATCTTCACTGGATGCCCCTGAGTTCCAGTATTTTGGAAGGGGAAGAAAAAGTTATTTTTTACCCTGTGCCTAATTTTATAAACCTTTATCATGTCTCCCCCCCCTCCCCCCAGTCATAGAGTAGCAAATGTTACACCAGTTTTTAAAAAGGGATCCAGAGGGGAACCAGGAACTTGCGGGCTAGTCAGCCTAACATCTGTTCCAGGCATTACTAGAAGCAGTAATCAAAGATAGAATTTTTAGGCAGCTCATGAAGCGAGAGCTGAGATGGCTAGAGAGACGGTGGCACCGCGCTCAAGACGAAGCCACAAGAGCATCTTATAGGTCGTTCATGAGATCCGGTGAGATGGCTTGCTCTACAATGGCCCGCTTCTTTTCTCCAAGGTCGGGGACAAAGGGTGGCACCAGGGCAGTGATGGCGAACCTTTTAGAGACCGAGTGCCCAAACTGCGACCCAAAACCCACTTATTTATCGCAAAGTGCCCACACGGCAATTTAACTTGAATACGGAGGTTTTACTTTAGAAAAAACAACTCATACATTAACTTAAGATGATCCAAACAAATAAAGGAAAGCAATCCCAAATGCTTTCATTTTCTTAAAATTATTTGGCAGAGAATTCGACACTTTAATGATGGTCTGGGCCTGGCTGGGGCAATGGCACATGTGCCCACAGAGAAGGCTCTGAGTGCCACCTCTGGCACCCGTGCCATAGGTTCGCCTCCACTGCACTAGGGGAACAGCAGTCCAGGAGGCACCCGCTGGAGTGTGGAGTGACTCAAGGGGCAGTGCTTTCCCCGATGCTATTTAACATCTATATGCGCCCCCTCGCCCAGATTGTCCGGAGGCATGGGCTGGGATGTCACCAGTACGCTGATGACACCCAGCTCTATCTGATGTTGGGCAGCCGGTCGGACTCCGGACTGGAAAATCTGGACCAGGCACTACAAGCCATGGCTGGTTGGCTTAGACTGAGCCGGCTGAAACTGAATCCAGCGAAGACGGAGGTCCTGTCCTTGAGTTGGGGAGGTTCGGGGGTGGGGATCCCACTCCCGACCTTTGGTGGGGCTCCACAGGTGCCAGCGCCGGAGGTGAGGAGTTTGGGAGTGCTCCTGGATGCCTCCTTAACAATGGAGGCCCAGGTAGCAGCCACCGCTAGGTTGGCCTTTTACAATCTTCAGCTGATTAGGCAGTTGGTTCCCTTCTTTGATCGCAACGACCTGGCAACAGTGATCCATGTGATGGTCACCTCAAGACTACTGTAACACTCTCTACATGGGGCTTGTCGCAAATTTGGAAGCTGCAGCTTGTCCAAAATGCCGCGGCGAGGCTCCTCATGGGCCTTTCCAGGTGGGAGCACATCCAGCCTATGCTGAAGACATTGCACTGGCTGCTGATAGCATACCAGATTCGCTTCAAAGTACTGGTACTTACCTTTAAAGCCCTATATGGCCAGGGTCCTGAGGGACCGCCTTTCCCCATATATACCCCAGAGATATAACTGATATACCCCAAAGGGACCGTCCCCATATATACCGGAGGGATCCCCTTTCCCCATATATACCCCAGAGAGCATTATGGTCAGGGTCTCAAAATCGCCATCTGAAGTATCTAAGGAAATATTGCCAGCACTTTATGATGTTATGATCTTATTTGTAATTGAATTGTTTAAATGATTTTATGTTGAATTTAATGGTTTCTATGTACCAACCAATGTAAGCTGCCCTGAGCCTGCTCGCGGGGAGGGCGGGGTACAAATTAATCAGTTAATTAATTAAATAAACAAACTAGGTGTGAGTAATGTAGTGGCCAAGTTTGCAGATGACACAAAATGATTCAGGATGGGGGAAACTCTGTTGGGAATTATTATATTACATTAGAAGCAGGAAACCAGCCAGGGAGGCAGTGGGGCCCTTGGATGAGGGAAATGGCTGAGAAGCTAAATGCATTTTTTGCCTCCGTTTTCACTGTGGAAGATGAGAAGTGCTTGCCCACTCCAGAACCGCTGATTTCGGGAGGGGTGTTGAGAGACCTGAGTCAGATTGAGGTGACGAGAGAGGAGGTCCTACGACTGATAGACAACTTAAAAACTGATAAATCACCAGGCCCAGATGACATACATCCGAGAGTTCTGAAAGAACTCAGATGTAAACTTGTGGATCTCCTGACAAAAATATGTAAATTTCATATTTCATTAAAATCTGCCTCCATTCCTGAGGACTGGAAGGTAGCTAATGTCACTCCCACCTTTAAAAAGAGTTCCAGAGGAGATCTGGGAAATTACAGGCCCGTCAGTTTGATGTCAATACCGGGTAAGTTGGTGGAAACTGTTATTAAGGAAAGAATTAGTAGGCACATTGATGAACAAAAAACTATTGAGGCAGACTCAGCATGGGTTCTGTAAGGGAAGTTCTTGTCTTACTAACCTGTTAGTGTTCTTTGAGGGGGTGAACAAACATGTGGACAAGGGGGACCCAATAGATGTTGTTTACCTTGACTTCCAGAAAGCTTTTGATAAAGTTCCTCATCAAAGGCTGCTAAGTAAGTTCAACACTCATGGGATAAAAGGACAAGTCCTCTTGTGGAACAAAAACTGGCTAATTAATAGGAAACAGAGAGTGAGTATAAATGGGCAATTTTCTCAGTGGAGAGTGGTAAGCAGTGGGGTACTGTAGGGATCAGTACTTGGTCCAATGCTTTTTAACTTGTTCATTAATGATTTGGAGATGGGAGTAAGCAGTGAAGTGGCTAAATTTGCGGATGATACAAAGTTGTTCAGGGTGGTGAAAACCAGTGAGGATTGTGAGGCACTCCAAGGGGATCTGTCAAGGATGGGCGAGTGGGCATCAACATGGCAAATGGGGTTCAATGTGACCAAGTGCAAGGTGATGCACATTGGAGCCAAAAATCCTAAATATAAATACACATTGATGGGGTCTGAACTGGCAGAGACAGATCAAGAGAGAGATCTTGGAGTTGTAGTAGATAACTCACTGAAAATGTCGAGACAGTGTGTGACTGCAATAAAGAAGGCCAATGCTATGCTGGGGATTATTAGGAAGGGTATTGAAAACAGATCAGCCAATATAATAATGCCCCTATATAAATCAATGGTGAGACCTCATTTGGAATACTGTGTGCAGTTCTGGGCACCACACCTTAAAAAGGATATTATAGCTTTGGAAAAAGTGCAGAAAAGGGCAACTAGAATGATAAAAGGGTTGGAACACTTTCCCTATGAGGAAAGGTTAAAACGCTTGGGGCTCTTTAGCTTGGAGAAACGACGACTGAAGGGTGACATGATAGAGGTTTACAAGATAATGCATGGGATAAGAGCAGGTCAAGAAAGAAGTACTTTTCTCCCTTTCTCACAATTCAAGAACTCGTGGGCACTCCATGAATTGCTGAGCGGTCGGGTTAGAACATATAAAAGGAAGTACTTTTTCACCCAAAGAGTGATTAACACATGGAATTCACTGCCACAGGAAGTGGTGGGTGCTACAAGCATGGACGGCTTCAAAAGGGAATTAGATAAGCATATGGAGCAGAGGGATTGGATAAACATATGGAGCAAAGGTCCATCAGTGGCTATTAGCCACAAGGTATAGATAGGAACTCTCGGTCTGGGGCAAGGGATGCTCTATATTCTTGGTGCTTGGGGGGGGGGACAGTGGGAGGGCTCCTAGTGTCCTGGCCCCACTGCTGGACCTCCTGATGGCACCTGGTATTTCTGGCCACTGTGTGATACAGAGTGTTGGACTGGATGGGCCACTGGCCTGATCCAACATTGGCTTCTCTTATGTTCTTACATTCTTATTAGGAAAGGGATTGAGAATGAAATGGCCAATATTGTAATGTCCCTGTATAGATCTGTGGTGCTGCCTCACTTGGAATACTGTGTACAGTCCTGGTCACTGTATCTCCAAAAAGACATTGCAGAGCTGGAAAACGTACAGAGGAGGGCAACCAAGATGATTATGGGGAACACCTTCCCTGTGAGGAAAGGCTAAAGAGTCTGGGGCTTTTTAGTTTAGAAGAGAGATGGCTAAGGGGGGATATGATAGAGGTTTATAAAAGTAGGCACAGAGCAGAGAAAGTGGACAAAGAAATTTTTTCTCCCTGTCCCAAAATACTAGAACTCCAGGGCATGCAATGAAGCATGCCCAGACGAAAGGAAATACTGCTTAACACAGAGAGTGATTAAAATGTGGAATTTGCTGCCAGAGGGTGTAGTGATGTCCCAGGAATAAACAGCTTTAAAAGGGGATTGGTTAGATTCATGGAGGATAAGTCTCAGTGGCGACTAGCCGTGGTTACTGATGGGAACCTCCACATTCAAAGGCACTAAATCTCTGGATCCCAGAGCCAAGAGGCAACATCAGGGGAAGGTCTCGGCCTCTTATGCCCTGTTGTTGGCTGTCCAAAGGAAGTAGTTGGCCACTGTCTGAGACAGCATGCTGGACTAGGTGGACAGTTGGTCTGATCCAGCAGAGCTCCTCTTATACACGTTGGTTAGTACATCAACTGTCTCACATTTGAGTTCCCTAAGAACTCTTGGGTGTATGCCATCAGGACCTGGAAACTTACTGGTTTTTAATTTCCCCACTACAGAGTCTGTGACTTTTCAGGCTAGAAAAAAAAGAGGGCAGAGGAAAGACATGATAAAAAGGTAAAGGTTCCCTTGCTCGAAAGCCAGTCAAATCCGACTCTAGGGTTGAGGTGGACATCTCCGTTTCAAAGCCGAAGACCCAGCGCTGTCCGAAGACGTTTCCGTGGTCATGTGGCCGGAATGCTGTTACCTTCCCACTGAAGTGGTACCTATTTATATACTTGCAATTTCTTGCTTTCGAACTGCTAGGTTGGCAGGAGCTGGAACTAGAGACGGGAGCACACTCAGTCTTGCGGCACCAGGGTCTCAAACTGCTGAACTACTGAACTTCCAGAGCCTGCAGTTCAGCATCTTATAAAATTACACATGGCATGAAGTGAAAGTGGGAAAGTGGGTATTTTTTCCCCTCCCTGTCCCATATTACTGGAACTCAGGGGTGGGTCATGAAATTATTGGGAAATAGGTTCAAGACAGACAAAAGGAAATCTTTCTTTACTCCATGGGTAATTAAACTGTGGAATTCACTGCCAGTGGAGGTGTTGATGGCCATGAGCAAAGATAGCTTTAAAATGAGTTTAGACAGATTCGTGGAGGGGAGGCCCATCAGTGGCTGCTAGCCTTGATGACTGAAAGGAACCTCCGTGCCCAGAGGCAGCAAACCTCTGAATACCCCTGCTGGGAGGCAGCAGCAGCAGAGGACCTCAGCCTCTGTGCCCTGTTCGTTCGGCCCTCCAGAGCAACAGGTTGACTGTTTTGTGAAACAGCATGCTGGCCTGGATGCCCACAGGTCTAGTCCAGTAGGCTGTACTTATGTTCTTATGCTAATTTACACTTCCAGGAAGGCATGGACAGCATTTTCTTTGACTAAGGAAATCTCATTGCAACAGAGTGTTTTGAAGAACATAGCAAAGAGCCTGACTTCTCACCTCTAATAGGAGCATTACTTAAATCAATCTTTTCTTCTCTAGGTGATGGCTGAAAAATTCCTGGAGGGCGAAGCGCCTCTGGAGATATTCCTTGAGCAGTTTTCCTCAATGAGGAAGTTGTCCCACATACGGCGGGTGAAAGTGGAAAAGCTTCAGGAGGTGCTAAGGAAGTCTCGGCCTTCACAAGAGCCAAGCAAGGGCTCAGAATTCAACCATCAGCCTCCTTCTCACATACCATCTGGGCAGCCACAGAATGGCCCATCTGGAGGACCACCCTTCCCTTTACCTTACAGTCTAGCCCCTAGCATGCCTACCGGCCCTTTAGTTCATGGAGATCTCCAGCCAGCTCCTTTTGCGGGGGCACCTGTCATAGCAGGCCATGCAGGTTCTGGATACCCATCAGTCTCTTCTGGCAGTTCAGTACCCCAGTCTCAGGCAGGAGATTCATCCTCCTCTCTGGCAAACGCTTGGTCTCCATCCAGAGCACCTCCTCCTGGGCCTGGTTACCCACAACCTCCTTTTAGGGCTCCATCAACAGTGCCAGGATTTCCTCAGCCTCTTCAGCCTCCCTATTTCTCATCTGTGGGGAATTCACAGTGCCCATATCCTACCCAGCCTTCGGTGCATAGCTTCCCTGTCCCCTCACAACCGCCATATCCCATGAACCCAAACTCTTTCTTTGGGCATCCATCACCACCTGTACCACCTCGAGGTCCTTGGTCAGGATACTAGTCAGGGACGCTAGGCAGTGTTCTTAGTGGTTCTCTTCTACAGCATTACCTGGGAAATTGATTCTTGCTAGCTATTGAGGCCTGAGATGAAACTTGGGGGTGTTATCCTGAAAGACTTCTTTGTGTAAGCATTATTACTGGTGTCATATGTGAATCGATTCTGTAAGACCTAAAGGAATGCTGCCGTGGAAAGATTCAGATTACGAGTAGCAGTATGTATTGACTGTAGACAGCCACTTGTGGCCTGTCCTGTCCTGACCTGTGAATTGGTCCAAGCCACAGTAAAACTGAGGTTCAGACTCATTGCTGATATGAACTGACATTGTTCCAATTAAGCCCTCTGAGACAGTATTACTTATATTACTTAGTGACAGTAATATAGATCCAGCCCTGTGCGTTTGTATGTGCACATGCACGCACATACGTATGTGTGTAGCTTTCTACTCTAGTGTGTTATGTATAAATAGAATTCTTCACACTTCTATTGCACAGAACTTATAGGAGTGACAGAGGGAAACTTCTTTCAACTATCTCTAATGTAAAACATGCTTGCCCAGGGAAGGAAGGAATATGTATATGCAGTGGCACTAAGAATTACTGGAAAAGTAGATGGAGGGAACATTGTAGCCCCTGACATGCCTCAGAAGTAGAACAGAGACACCAACTGCTCTCGGGTGCAGTCTTGTGTCCACTCAGTTTTCCATGCTGATGTACCTGCAGAGCACAGCATGTTTCTCTTGTCAGTGTATTTTCACTCTTCTAGGTTTCCACGTGTGTAACCCTTCCTTTCTGAACAGATGCACAGAGGGTGCAGGATGGCTGTGTTAGGTGTATGGTGTATGTTAGCTAGGGGCAAGTGATGTCTGTCAAAGACAGCACCGGAGAGCTGGTTTATCGACACGTCGGGGCAAAATGCCAGTGTCCCTGTTTTCATGGGTGAGTGTGTGATGTGCTGCACTGGAGCCTTGAGACTTCTGTGGCTGAAGTTTTCCTGCTCCTCTTCCCCAATGACCTACTACTAGGGTAGCAGGAAGAGGTTCGATGATAAAGCTTCCTCCCGCCGTCCTTGGTCGTTGCCCCATTTCCCACAGTGGATGGGAAGAAACACTGGCTGCCAATCAAGAGCACACAGGGATCCTATTGGAAGGAGTTGGCTTTGCTAAGCACTTTATTCTCTTGCTTGCCTTTAATGTATTTATAAAAAAGAGACTACTAATAGATTAGACAGATTGAATGCTTTTGGAAATTGATGAAAGTAATTCTATACTTGTGATGAATTATGATAATAAAACTTAATGAATTGCACACAATTATTGCCATGACTTTGGAAAATCAAGCAGTGACATGTTGGGGTTTGTTATTGATTTCTTGCTTACTGAACATCCTCTCTCTGACCTCATTGTCAGTAAAGCCCTTCACCCTTCCTCTCATGCAGCCGTGGGCTCTTTGTATGATTTCATCCTTCCTCTTCTTTGTAGTCTGCTTAAGAGATTCATTTGTGCAGCTTTCTTCCCCATGGAACAAAAAATGTTTCCCTTCTCAGCTTTGTTCAAACCAGGTTTTCTCTAGTCTTTGTACTGTGATTTTCTTTGTTGTTACCTTTTGTTTTCTAATCATTCTTTATTATCAACTATTTTTGCTTTTGCTTCAGTGTAATTAAAAGTCATTGCCTGTCCTCCCTCCTGCATTAATTTAATTCATCACCTATCAGTTACTCATCTTTGATCTAGCTTTGTATTTCATAATTAGCCTAACACTAGATAATGTCTTTTCTATTAGAATGCCAGAGTACGAGGAAAGACCAAAATGATAGAGAGATGTTTAGGAAAGCAGGCTGTATGGTTAGATTTGTTAATTTTTGGTGGGGAGCAGGGAATGATTTTGTAAAATTGTTTAAAAGATGTCAAAGGAGAACAATTGTTGAGAGTGAGCGAGCGATTTGGCTGCTGCATAAATTAGTTTGCTCTGGGGCCATCCTTCCTGAGCTAAGACAAAAATGTGTGAGCCGGAGGCTAAAAAATTATGAGCTAGCTCACACTAACTCAGCTTAGAGGGAACACTGGTGCATTCATGTAGTAAGTGTGTGGGCTGGATTTAAGGATTATGGCTGTTTCCTGTTCCCCACCCTCCAGCATTTCCATCCCTGGGAAAGTTTATTTCTGGCGTTATGGGGTCCACACGCTTTAAAAGACATAGCTGCAATGAGGAGGGGGTGGCATTTTGTCAGCCAAGCTGTGCTGATGGAAGAGAGAGGTGATTTCACCCCCTGTTAACCTGCATGGCCGTTACACCATGCAGGCCTCATGACTCCAGGAGTCAAAAGCCCTGGAGCAGGAAAGGACTGCTGTGGGGAGGAGAACATGAGAAAGACTTGTGACTGTCGGCATCTTTGGCTGACAAACCACAGGAGTCTAATCCTATGTCTTTACATTACTTAGGAGCAATGATTATGTAACGCGAAGGCTTCTTGCTTTGGAATATTTTAGACACGCACTACACAGATGGGAATGTACAAACAGGCCCTTTGTCCTTATACATTTTCTGTGCTTGTATTTGAGTACAAAATGTCAGATATGATGCCCTGATTTCTGAACCAATCTCAGACTCCATATTGGACAAAATTCAACTATAATTTATCACTTTTAAGTTCCATTGAATTCAACAGCAGAGAGTTACAGATGTGCTTGAAATCAGTGGGATTTAAAAGTGCTTCATTTGAGTTGCACTTGGTGTCTTTTACATCCGACATCACTTGTTTCTTCTGATGGGTTTATTCTTCTGATGTGTTAGTGTGCTTTTGACTTACACTAAACAGTGTACAGAATTCTGATGGTGGAATCACTTCAGTTTCTCTGGGGATGGTGTTGCTTGGGATAAAAGAAGTGTCACAAACCAGAAATAATCTGTTGTTATCCTAGGATTTAAACATGAAAAATGGAGGCAGAAGTTGAAACTATAGTAAGGTTAATGGGTATGGGGACATATTCAGCTCTGTATCTGAATCACTGAATTTGTGGCAGAAAGTAAACTTTTACTGGACTCCCAGAGAATGCAATTAAACTCTTTTTGTATACAAAAAATTGTTACTGTAAGGACTGGGTGTGAATAAAATTCTATTTCTGATAAATGTCTACAATGCTTTGAAAACTGAATATAAAAATGACACAAACTGATTTGAAATAGTATAGTAGTATCTGGGTAGAGTATAAGCTGGTTTGAAAGGAAAAAGACTCTCTCCCCCCCCCCCCCCAAATCTTGCTTCCTGATCTAGTTAATTCCACTCCAGAGAGTAACTTCTTTTTAATGGCTAGAAGATACTGGCTTGGAGCCTATGAAGGGGTTCCTTGCTGGCTAGGTAGAGGAAGCAGTGGCAGAAGTGAGCATGTACAGAACTTGTTCATGGGAACTGAACCAGTATCTCAAATAGTAGGATTTTAGTATGAATTTTAGTACCTTTCAAGACACTAAAATGTTTGGAAAATTCCAAAAGTGCCACCCTTATGTTGGAAGGTATTTGATATAAGCTAGTGGCAAAACATGCACATGTCTCTTACAGCATGATGGCCACACCTCTGGAGGTTTGTTTTAGTTTTTCCTTAACACAGCTTGAAGTATTACAAAATTGGTTTGACTAAAGGCTATGGCAGGATGCAAATAACACACATGTGTGGACTGTCTACAGTGTTTCCAAGAAAAATCTGTACATAATCATAAGACTGTACTGTCAGCCTTCTTATCCATCCTTGGTGATGCATATAGTTTGCAAACTGTCCACCCTTTCCCCCTAAAGTACATATATTTGTCCCTTTCTTCTATATGTATTTAGTTGTAAGATAGTTTGGATTTGGAACTCTGTAGTTACTTAACCATTTCCTGAGTAATTAAGTAATGCATTTAAACAGTCTGTTGCAAGTACTTAAGTCTGTTATTTAAAGACTTATATGTAAGAATTTTCTCAGTGTCTCAGAAAGATGAGGTAGGTTGCACACCTTCAAACTACTAACTGAGATTATGAAAAGGTTTCTATGTAACTGAAAAATCACCTCATCACCTGCACCGATATAACTTTTTGATCCCAGTGTAAAGTAGAATTGATGATTTGGCTTTCCTATATAACTTCCAAGAGTCCATCAGTATATAAAAAAATGGCTTTCCCTTCCTTGTCCAAGGTAATCAAAGTGGTAAAGTATTTCCACTGGAGTTTGGTTACTTCCAACTTTTCTGTGTAAATTTGTACTGATGGGCACTGTGTTAACTCTTGACAAGAGGCCAAACGTCAGCCAGCATTTAGCCTTTGAACTGTATATTTGTGTACAAATCTCCAAATACAAAACACGTGTACCTTGTCACAGGTTTGGTTGCCCCTTATATTTTTTATTATATACCCAATTATTGGTATGGCTTACAAATAATAGATATAAGAATAGGTACAACTTAGAAATTATATTACATCTGAATTCAGACAAAACAATAGAACTCATAATTCACTGTCTTCACTGTGGAAGTGCTTGCCCACTCCAGAACTGCTGATTTCAGGTGTTGAAAGACCTGAGTCAGATTGAGGTGGCAAGAGAGGAGGTCCTATGACTGGCAGACAACTTAAAAACTGATAAATCACCAGGCCCGGATGGCATACATTCAAGAGTTCCAGAGGAGATCTGGGAAATTACAGGCCAGTCAGTCTATGTCAATACCGGGTAAGTTGGTGGAAACTGTTATTAAGGAAAGAATTAGTAGGCACATTGATGAACAAAACCTATTGAGGCAGACTCAGCATGGGTTCTGTAAGGGAAGTCTTTGTCTCACTAACCTGTTAGTGTTTTTTGAGGGGGTGAACAAACATGTGGACAAGGGGGACCCAATAGATGTTGTTTACCTTGACTTCCAGAAAGCTTTTGATATAAAGTTCCTCATCAAAGGCTCCTACGTAAGGACAAGTTAAAGGACAAGTTCTCTTGTGGATCAGAAACTGGATAAAAGGACAAGTTCTCTTGTGGATCAGAAACTGGCTAATTAAAAGGAAACAGAGTATAAATGGGCAATTTTCTCAGTGGAGGGTGGTAAGCCATGGGATACCGCAAGGATTAGTACTCAGTCTGATGCTTTTTAACTTGTTTATTAATTATTTGGAGTTGGGAGTAAGCAGTGAAGTGGCTAAATTTGCAGATGACACAAAGTTGTTCAGGGTGCTGGGAACCAGGGAGGATTGTGAGGCACTCCAAAGGGATCTTTCGAGGATGGGCGAGTGGGCGTCAATGTGGCAAATGGGGTTCAATGTGGCCAAGTGCAAAGTGATGCACATTGGAGCAAAAAATCCTAACTATAAATATACGTTGATGGGTCCAAACTGGCAGAGATGGGTGAGTGGGTGTCAACTTGGCAAATGGGGTTCAATGTGGCCAAGTGCAAGGTGATGCACATTGGAGCCAAAAATCCTAACTATAAATACACGTTGATGGGGTCTGAACTAGCAGAAACTGACCAAGAGAGAGATCTTGGAGTCATAGTAGATAACTCACTGATAATGTCAAAACAGTGTGCGACTGCAATAAAGAAGGCCAACGCTATGCTGGGGATTATTAGGAAGGGAACTGAAAACAAATCAGCCAGTATCATAATCCCCCTGTATAAATCGATGGTACTACCTCATTTGGAATACTGTGTACAGTTCTGGTCACCACACCTCAAAAAGGATATTATAGCGTTGGAAAGAG